TCGCTCTAATTATTTTTTACTGCTCAAACTTGTGACGGCAGATATCGAATGTGACACGTGCACTCGATTATGTAATTATTATTGGTGGCATATGTATTCTATGGTGACGGTTTTACCGATCGCGGTGGAAAAAAAAAATGCACTTACGATGCGGGGCCGAGTGTTTTCAATTTTATGGTGCAGTCGACGGTTTTGACCGGTGCTACGACTTCTCCAGTCGACCGTTACTAATGATTTTTTTCTGTCATTTTTCGTTGGTAATGACTCTTTTTTCTAGCATGGGGAAATTTATTAATGACTTTATTTCGATCCTTTCAGATGGGGAATTGTGGCGATATTGATTGAATTATCGGAGTGAATACGTTTCTGAAGGGAATTTTTTGAGTGTGGATGAGTATTGAGAGTTTCATTACGCTCGCAGTGAGTGGCTCAATTGATAAAAGACGAGTTTACAATGCGGGAGGACTCGGGTTCGATCCCGGGCTCCGAAAAATATTATTCTCTCTCTTGGAAAATTCCCAATAAATTTTTTTACTTTTCAAATTCATTTTCCTGAATTTTTCGAAGGGTAATACATTATTATTATTATTCGAATTCATCATCATAATTGTCTGATAAAAAATCCTGATGTATTACCCTTCGAAAAATTCAGGAAAATGAATTTGAAAAGTAAAAAATTTTATTGGGAATAAAAATTTCGGGGGGAAAATTTTATTGGGACTCTTTATTATTATTATTATTATTATTATTATTATTATTATTATTAAAATTATTATTATTAAGTAATAGATTAGGGCCTCAGTGAGTAGCTCAATTGGTAAGAGACGAGTTTACAATGCGAGAGGACTTGGGTTCAATACCTGAAAATAACACATGGTAATTCCAGAAATTTTTTAAAAAGAAATTAAAATCAATTTTTCATCCTCCAACTGCGTTTATTTTCCCTAATAAAAGGATTAAACAACCCCGTAAAAGTATTATAATGATTATTCATGAATATTCCACCCATATCGATCAAAAAATCTAAAATACTTTGATCCACTCAACAAAGCCACAAAATCGCCATGAAATATCAAGTATCTCCTTTCCAGAAAATCGGATTATAACCGCCAATCCAGTGAAGAAAAACCCGAGTCATGCGGGCGCCTAAGCACATTGCACTCGATATTGTGAATAATAAATATCCCATTGGCTGGACTGTGCAGCCTCCAGCCCGCAAACACCGGCTCTACCCCACTCTAGCCTCGTATATCGGTATATACGGGGGTGCCGGAGACACACGTACGGCGAAAGATTCCGGTATAAGCAGCTGTCCCGCATGGAGTAAAGGTACCCATGTCCCTAGAAACGATCCCGAAAAGAGAGCCGTGTTGTTCTCTCCTCGTCCCCAATAAATTCTTTTTTTGTCCCGTAAAAACTCCAAGTAAGAAAAACATTTGCAAAGCCATAGTCATAGATTATCAAGGTCAATAGGTGAAAATTTTCGCAATGTGTTGGAGCGAACGAAAATAGAGGTATTTTCTATTTCTATAATTCCTCGAAATGTTTACATAGCGATAGAGTAAACAAGTGTTCAAGGATAATGGGCCTCGTTGACCCCCAACAAACCGAGGGGTCAAACCTCTGAGAAAGTCACACATACGACATTAAAAGATTAAAATTTCTTCAAATTTCATCTGTTTGGTACGCCCTCAGTTTCACACGCAGCGGTCCACAAAAATGAATAAGTCCTCCCGAGAAATAATACTGAAAAATTGTGTCCAACTGAAATAAATGAACTCGAGACTACCAGAGGGGCCGACAATTTCCTAAAAATTCAAAAAATTCGTGAAATTCGTTTTACTTCACCCCTGGCGAAATCTTGAGAAATCGAGTCGATTTGTAACCCAAAAAATCCGCCCTGAATATCAATCCAAAAGGGACTCCTGATCCCCTTGACGCACACACAGGCCCAAAAAACATAAAAAAAAGATCATTTTTTCCGTCTTTTCAAGGAGGAATGAGAATTAATCAAACGCACCCTTAGAACTGATTTCGGGGTGACTCTGGTTGTGTACATGGTCTAGTAACATTCCGCACGTGGCCCGTATTCTGACACATAATAAATCGTCTCTGACGGATTCGTTCGGACGTCCTACCCCAATAGACCAAATAGTGGGAATAGGTGGGGTGCATCGACGTTTAGACATTTTCGGTAAAAAAAAAATTTCCAAAACCCATCGGAATGGTGTTGAAGAGACACAGGAGGTGAGGAGAAAAATAAAGGCGGAGTTGGAACACAGCGGAATGAGAGGGTGAAACGCCCCATTGTATGCATAAAAGAGAGCGTCACTAAACGCAGAAACAAAAAAAAATATTCAAAGTGTGCGACAAAAACGCGAGAATTGTTCCCGTTTTGAAAGCACGTAGTTTGTTTTAAATCCCCAACGATAATTAACGGACATTCACCCGACGACGATTACCCCCATGTGTCACAGAGTACAAGTACAGATGAATAGAACTCGATCAATTCCCTACAAATTCTTCTAGAATTATCAATGATCTAACAAACGAGACCTCAAACCGGAGAAAACCCATCTGTCATGGGTTTTCTCAAAGGAAAATCGGATTTCGAATGCCCGGAGGATGTGAAATGGGGCGAAATTTATCTGTCAAGGGTCTCCAGTCGTGTCCCCAAGGAGTCACCGACTCCTTGAGGCCCCGGACTCCCCCACCCGCTGGGTAATTGGACCGCTTGAGTGCCCCCACTCCTTCGCGCGAGGCCCCCGAGGCACGCGCGCATCTTACCCCCACCCCACCGTGCGGTCCGCTCGTGCGTGGGTGCCGGCCTCCGATCATTTGTCCCGTCTATTCACCGTAGCACCCCCTCACTCTCATGCATGAATGCCATTCGGAGGAGAAAAAATTGGTACTGCTTTGAATGGTGAGATTAGACCGCCTTTTTCCAACGTTAAACGGCTGTGAGATTGTAGAAATGTGAAAGGTGATGGTAGTTTTGTCCTTTTGGGACTCATGCGCGCTTTCATGGGCTCTTCGGAAGGACAATTCGCACACTTCCGGCCCACGGACGTCACCATTCGTCGGGAGATTTTTTTCTCTCGGGTCTTTGACTCTGTCAAGCGTGCATGTACACCAGCGCACTCTCAAGCGCGAATTTATGGGTTAATAATGGGGTCTATTCAGGGGAGGAGTATAACCTCAAAAATCACACTCGAGTGGATAAATGCTGGTTTTCTTGGGACGATGGTTTCACGCTAGTATGACTCTTGAGAAAGGATAATTGTTTTGTTTATGAACAATTGAGATCGTGTATTCTGCTTTATTCAGGTGCAGGGGCTTTTCGGAATGAGTATTTGAACTTGATAAAGGGTGCATGTCCAATTAAGTTGATTTAGGACTGTTGGTCAAAAAAAGAAAGGACGAAATTTGCCTAGAAAAATAAATATTTGGTGCGGAAAAATATTCGGCATTTGGAAAATATGAAATATTGATGTTTTCCCTCTGCACCTTTTGCTCGTTCATCCCTAAAAAATGAATGGCAAATATCGGGCGAAGAAAAATTGACTCGATTACCATCTCAGCTGTTTATGAAAAAGGTTAGCGTGCGGGGGTGCCATTGACACGTAAAAAATCATCGCAATCCCTCTGATCCCCATACCTGACTGCTTTTTTTAAAGAAATCGGTACCTGGAAATCGACCCGGCGTTATTTTTTTTTTCTATACCTACCGAATTTTCTCCGGTGGTGACAGCACCCAAGATCGATTATTCCGTGGAAGGTCGACCGGCTTTTGCTCCACATAAATCTCGACCTCTTGAAAATACTCTTGACAGTTTATTAAAAAAAATTTGGTACTCCACGGTTTTTATGGGTCTAATCAGCGGTTGTAATCTCTCAACCCTTTCACACCTTTTGGGGGAAGTGTTGCGCATTGTGTCGTCGGGACATTTATCACTGGGGTAATTAGCATCTACTTGAGTGGATATTGAAACTATCATGATTGTTATAATGTATATTTTGTTAATTAGACAATAGTTGTTTTTTTTATCAGTTTAACCCCGTCATTAGGTTATTTACATTCATGATTATATACATTTAAGCAGAGAATTACAAAATTTCGTACTGTACAGGGTTTTCAAATCCGAATTTGGTTTTTGTGTATGAATTCGCGAATAATTTTCAAATACTCCACTTTCATCTCAGCCAAAGAATGTGGTTGTGGTGTAATCTGGGAGCCTTTTTAATGGAGTTATTCATAATTAATTAAGCATGCGCTGTATTTATTATCAAAAAAAAAAATCCGTCAACGATTTTTTTTGCAATAAAAAAATGAAAAATTATTTGTTGAATTGATTTCTTTCAAAATTTGTGCTGTAACAATTTTCTCATTTTCAAAAAGCTTTGTCAAAAAAAATTGCGAATTAAAAAAAAAACTTTTGTAAAAAAAATCTTTTTAAAATTTTGTTCAAAACACTCAAAGGTTAAATAGACATATGTACCCTGGCCATTATTTACCCAAAACCTCAACGTCAAGAATTGCACTATCACGTCATCATATTGTTCCAACAAATAAAGAAAAAAAAAGTCCCGAGTCACCCACTAGACTATCAAGAGTCTCTCATCAAAACTCCGGATCATTTTTATTGCATAAAAAAAAGGAGGGGGATCGGTATTGGAGTGGCCGTAGTGGTCAGGTCGGTTTCCACCCGGTGGAATTTACCGCGGTGGGGGTAGGTGAGACTAGCCGGTCCCGATGAGAAAGCCCCCTACCCTCCCGAGGCTACATAAGGCCCCTGGGCTCGCCCCACCACCGTCAGTGGTGCAACAGACGTTGTCGCGCACGGTTGTGCTGACACATAACATACGGCACACCACGCCGCCATGCCGTCAATCTAGTCCACACGCGGTTGTTTAGAAATAATTTGTTTTCGGAATTAAAAAAAAAAAACGATAAATAACCATTTCGCGGAGGAAAATAAAAACAAAATTGTGATTGTGGATAAATTGGAACTGTTTGTGGTGATATTTTGGAGCGGAAACTCTGGATGTACCTTCGAATATTTTGGAAATATATTGAGTAAGTTGACCATTAATTAATTAATTTTTTTAATAAAAAAATTTCTTCCGCTCCAAGTTTTCATTTTCTCCCGCGAATGATCGAATGGGTTTATAATTTGCTGAATTAATCGATAAACTAAGTAGTTGATCAGAGATTTTGGGGCTGAAAATTTTTGTCATTTCGCGAATCATTTTTTCGAATAGTAAAAATCTTGAAAATAATCGTTGCGATTTAAAAAATCCTCCAACGGTTGAACGAGATACATATCCCACCACATGGTACATACGTATTATCGCGAAGGGCACTCGACATTAATGGCCCCCGTTTCATACCCCAAAAAGCGTTTCTGTACCTGTACGTTAGCGCCTATCACGCATGGTTGAGAGGGGTTACCGGACTTTTAAACCATAGATCTTGTTTCTTTTTATCCATGATGCGTATAACATTCCGTGGTACTTTTTATGTGCAACGTGTATGCTAATCGCGTCGCCATCTAGATCTTGGGAATTGAATAGAGAACAATGGGAGTCCCTCAACCCTAGGGAATTTTTGCCTCTCGCCTTGAATATCGTCATATTAATTTTTATTACCATCACAATAGTCCCGATGGATGGAATCTAATCAGAAGAATAATTCACTTCGAATTTGAATTTTTCCAAAAATTCCACGCCAAGAATTTCTCAGAAATCGCTTGTGTATTGTTAAACAAACAGAAAATTGCGCGTTGTTACGAGAATAAAAGAGAATTGTCATTTGATCAACCCGCGAATGCGTCGCACGTGCCCCAAAAAAAAACCCGAAGAAAGAGATTGCGACCCTCATCGATGTCTCCCGAAACTCCAACGACATTTCGCCCCGCGTCTCCAGACGAGGGATCGAAAAAAAACAAAGGAACACCCGGGGGAATGGGCGCTGGCTATCCTGACGAGAAAGAAAAACAAGTGTTCCTCACTGTGTCCACTCCAAGGGCCCCTCGAGGACCCAAAAAAAAAAAACATCTGTATCCGATAAGAATTCATCAACCTGACGTTCGACCCTCCCCGAAAATCCCAACGAACCTTTCCCTCCAATTTACCTAGAATTTCCATAACTTCGAATTTAAAATGTTCACCCCCCCCCCCCCCCGGAGAGATTGAGGTTTAGGATGATGAGGATTAATCAATCACTAACGTGTCTCGTTAAAATACTCAATTATGAATTTATTTATTATCGCATAAAGTAAAAGAGCACAAGAATCGGTGAGCAATCGGCGATTGCTCCTTCGCGCACACACACACACACATACGCACGCATGCGTGTGTAGCTACATATCACACACACACACACACACACACACACACACACACACACGCATGTGCTACATATACTTCCAAGAGAATTAGAATTTAGAGAGAAAAATTCCGCACCGCGCAGCCGGGATTCGAACCCGGGTCTCCCAGTTACGCGCCGGGCACTCTTCCGACTAAGCTACCGGAAACTACGGAAATTCACTCTCCAAATTCGCCTCACACACCACCTAACCTCCTTTAGGCATTAAATAATTCAAAGAGAATTAGAATTTAGTGAGAAAAAATCCCGCACCGCGCAGCCGGGATTCGAACCCGGGTCTCCCAGTTACGCGCCGGGCACTCTTCCGACTAAGCTACCGGGAACTACGGAAACTCACTTTCCAAATTCGCCTCACACACCACCTAACCTCCTTTAGGCATTCAATAATTCTAAGAGAATTAGAATTTAGAGAGAAAAAATCCCGCACACACACATACACACGCACGCATGTGCTACATAGTGTGTGTGTGTGTGTGATGTAGCAGTCGCTACGCCCCCTCCGGGGAAGGTCCTCGAAACCTCTTAAGACACCCCGAAGAAATTTCCACCCCTCGAAAGAGCCTAACCCCCAAGAAAAAAGTTAAAAAGATGATGTAAATGACGCATGCGCGAGTTACATCTGCCTCGGAGGAAAAAGTCTAACCTAAAAAGAATCAGAAAACTAGATAAAGGACTTAGTCCCTGTACGAGCCGTGAAGACCTATACAAACGCATTTTAGGGACCCCCATTTTTCATACACCTCTGGTATTCTTATGATCCTTACTACACACATCCTCGCAACTACCTTTCTAACGCGGTGAAAAGAAAGGAAAAAAAATCGGAAGTCAACCCCTCCCCAACGCGTCCAGCTCTGGCCACCGTCCGGTCCTTTAAATGATTATCCAGTACTGCTTCGCTGTTGGATACTGGCCCTGGTCATATTGTCCCAAGGTCTTACTTTTTTCCATCTCTCCCTCTAACATTGACTCTCTCTTTAACATTCACAGAACCTGCCCGGGTTACGTCGAAGTGAACCAGAGCGAAAGAAAGAGGTTTTCGGGAGAAAGAATGAGATGAAAAAAAAAGTGAGACGGGGGAATAAAGAGGCTAATGCATATGCATAGTACCTTTAAAAAAATTTTGAGAAAAGGAGCCATGTGTACCCCCGATATACAACACGCGACTGGTTTTTCGGCTGTTCTGGATATGCAAAACTAGACCTAACCTCTTTTTATTCCCTCATCACGCTGTTTCACTCTACTTTTTTAAAAGGAACCTTGCCTTTTTATTCCTTCGTTCCTTCTTTTTTGGTCTCGATCATGGGAACGCTTAGGACATTGAGGCAGGTGGTGGCCCAAATGTCTGTAAGTCGTCTTCGAACTTAATCCGACAGTCGTTTCCCCCATGGGCTTTTCGAGATTGGACGGAGAGGGGCTTGAAGAGGAATCTGGTGTCCAGGGGAATTGCGGAAAAGTTTGAAGTTGTAGGTATCTGGGATCTGTGGAGGACTGGAGGATGGAGATGTATGAAATGATTATTTTGGTAATAGATTGATCGAAGAGGAGTTGATGCTTTTAAATTAGCTACAGGCAATTGAGCACTGGAAGATTGAGAGATGAGGGGATAGTGTATTGTGGTGATTCCGTGACGGACGATATTAGGATTCATTTCAAGGGAGATGGGTTGTGAAGGGGCGAGGCGATTTCTACGTCTTAATGATTGTGGATGAAATGTTGGATGGTCATCATTCAGAATTTTGGCGGCTGCTAGAGGGGACTTGGATGGTTTTTCCCGAAATCACTTGCTGTTGAAAGGAGGACATGATCGAAGGGCTGATTTCTTTTTAGGCAAAAGAGTTTTACGAAAAGAATGCTTCTAGTGAGCTGGAGATAGTTCTGTTAAGTTGCTTGCTGAAAGATGTCATTATAGAAAGGATTGGGCGCGGAAAATGAAGAAGGAATGCTTCCGCAATTCAATTTCTGGGAAGTAATCTTTGTACCCTGTAATCTTGGGCAAGCAATCTTGCTAAAAAATTTTCTTTGATCCCTAATCTTTCACGTTTTTTCGATTCCTTCCTGAAAGCTACCAATTCGGAAGGATTGTTTGTCGAAAATAGAGTCTTGGTAAATGGATTCCTGCAAGCAAGCGAGATCCTGTTGAAGCAGTTTTTTGCTGAAATCACTTGCTATTGAAAGGAGGACATGATTGAAGGGCAGATTGTTTGTCAGGATGACAAGATTTCCTTTTCGGTGAGCAAGTTTTATGAAAAGGATGGTACTAGTGAAGTGAAACTAGTTCTCTTAATTTGCTTGCTGAAAGGATTGGTGCCGAAAATGAAGGGTTGTTGGAGGAAGTCTTCGGCAATTCGATTTTTGCAAGCAATCTTGGTCAAATTTCTTCTTTCGTTAGCCATCTTTCCCATCTTCTAGATTGCTTGCTAACAGCTATCAATTCGGAAGTATTGCTTTTCAAAAATCGTATATTGGTGAAGCTTACGTCTTTGAAGCAATCTACCCAAGCCCAATTTCCTGATAATCAACCTTCACAGCCTTATTTTTTGTTATCAATTTGGCCAAAATGATGTTGTTTGTGAGCAATTATTCCCAAGCGGCATGCATGGTAAGCAATCCTCGCGAAATTTCTGGTTAGCAACTCTCCTTTCCCAAGCAATCCTCCCAAAAACCTCATCATCATTCCCACCATCCCCCCCTAAACATCCAAAACAAAGAGTCTCGTAGACCCCTCAACTTAAATTCGCGAATATCTGTACCCGAAATAAAAGCCTTTTCGCGATGGGTTTATTCCTCCCGACAAGCGTACACCCAGTGTTGGTGATTTTTTTTCGGGGCTCCCCGCTGTGTTTGGCACACTCAGACCCCCGAAAAAAGGGATCAGGTATGGAGAATGAAGTGAGACAGAGTGAAATTCCGGCTCACCTGCCCTCCCCAACCCCTCGATTATGCCTCCAAGGAACCCTGTGATTCCAACACGCGGATTCAATCCCCCCCTCTCGCCCCCTTTTTTCCTTGTACCTCTCCTCCATCTAAACGAGACCAGATTCATCACAAAATCTCTCTTTATACCTCGTACACTTATTCTTTTCTCCATTCTATCCTCTCTTTTATTCGCGGTGTCTTCTTCTGACCCCCCCGAGCATCGAAGAAATATCAACCGTCGCTCCATTTACGTTATATACCTGAGCTCTTATCCTTTGTTTTGGTTTTGAGGAGAAGGAGGGACTATTATTAGAGGCTGAGCTCTGGTTTATCCATTAGTTACATCATCGTCATCAGATGAGTAGACTGTCTCATTAGAGCACCGAGGGCTCTTCACAGTAGCCTTTTTTGCTTGGAGATGACAATGAGGGAGACAGTGTTACTCAGCTTCTCATCTTTTTTCACTTCTACTCTTACTTTCGTTCTCTTTTGTCGTATCATTCACAATCTGCTGCTTCGAAATGGTCTTTTTGGTCTTAAGTTTTCACCTGACGGCTGACAATCTTCACTCCTCACAATAGCAAAGCTTTTTCGTTAGTTTTGGGAAAAGGAGATTGTTTCCGTCGTTAATCATCTTGTGAATTATACATGACATCTAGTTTCATTTTGGAAAATAGTTGAAAAATGATGATCATCTAGGTAAACTTTTTCTCATCGACGCAGCGAGTGCCCTTCAAAGTACCCTTTCTTCTTAGAGATAACAACGAGAAAGA